GAGAGAGAGAGAGAGAGAGAGAGAGAGAGAGAGAGAGAGAGAGAGAGAGATCGAGTCTCAAGACACAGAAAGAAAAATAGAAACTCGAGCCGGGGGTCTCATCGCGGATTTAAACTTTCATCAGATCGAAAGAGGAAGAGAATGGAAATTCCCGCGCGATCCTCGTATCTTATTTTAATAACGCACTGATCGAACAACGAGACTCGATCGCCGCATCCCATTTGATTAATTTGCAAATCCTACATTATCTTATTTTACAATAACTTAAGATCATGTGATCGTGACGTCAGAGGCGAGAAATGACACGCTGAAAATTCTTGCGTGCTAAACAAAAAGACATTTTGATGAAAGCGCACTTCACATGCATTTTACAAGTATGACCCAGCAATTTCGTGTGTTTCTTGCGTACAGGTATAGTTCCATTTGAGAATGGCACGCATTTTGGGCGGGTATTATCTCCGCCTCTGACGTGATCAATCAAGAATATCGCGGCGAGGGGTCTTAAGGTATTACAAAATAAGATGATGCAGCAATGCAAATCGATCGAATGACGCCGGAAAATTAATTGAACGTCTTAACGCGCTACGGACGGGTCACGAGAATTCTCGTGGTGTAACATAATGGTATTGGGTTGATATAAAAGACTTGTCATTTCCCCATTAAATCCCTTCGCAGAAGTTTGGATATCAAGATGAAAAATGCACGGAGAGAACTTTATAGTAAAAATTATTATAGAATTTCGTGAGAGCGAGCGATAGACCGACGTTCTGCAGTAATTGATTATCCTTTCATTTCTAGAAGTTTACTATGTTCCTCGGGAAGAAATAGACCTCACTGACGGTCTCTCTATTCTTACTAGGAACACGGTAAAATTGAAGAGTATTCACCTAAATCAAGAAAAACTGTAATATTCTCTCCGTGCAGAAAGTCCTCGTCGGATGTCTAAAATAATATCATATCGATGTTGCTGATTTTGTTCGTTTGATTGACTTTGGATAATTTCTCTCTCTATTTTTCCATTTGGCAAATGTTGGAAGTTGGTTTTTTCGACCTTTTTACTTGACGAACACGACAAACCTTTTACAGCGACCTAATGCCTGGCTATTGCGCCAGCAGGAGTAAGATGATCGATCTGCAATGTGTTCAGCGCCGTGAATCGGGGGAGTCGCGAGATTTCCGTTCGCCGTAACAACGCGGTCGTGTTATCAAGGCTCGCGACGAGGATCCCGGCCTGGAGATCCAGCCCGACGGCATGTGTATCCCGCCGTGCGGATCCTATCGTGCCGAAGGGGGAGGAAGGGAGCGGGCCGGGAAAAGAACTACCCGGCGAGAGACTCGAGTCTCGGGAGCAACCCCCGCGGAGTGCACGGTGGTATTCGGGTCGAGTAATTCCCGGGGATTCGTCCCGTCTCCCGCTGCGTCGCGTGCCGCTAATAGAAAAAGCAAATTTAACGGCGGCGCCGAGGAAATCCGATCGGTACTCGATCGCGAGGTGCCCCGGCGAGGAGCGGGGTAGGTAATGGGATGCGTTCGGGGCTCGGCAGTGAAGAAGGAAAACCTCTGGGATTCCCCCGCTGTCGATATCGCGCCTCCAGGACACTCGGTCCGTCCTCATCGCCTAGGACGATTTAAAGTTGCAGCGCCGGAGAGTCGCCTCGCGAAAACTCCTCGTTGTCTTCCCCTTCACTCCGTGAGGCGATATTAAAACTTATCCAAGAAATATACCCGGCTGCACACACA